GCATGCCTGTAATCCCAGCTACTTAGGAGGCTGAGGCAGGAGAATTGCCTGAGCCCAGGAGGCGCAGGTTGCGGTGAGCCGAGATCGCACCATTGCACTCCAGCCTGGGTAACAAGAGCGAAACTCCGTCTCAAAAAAAAAAAAAAAAAGACAGGATTTCAAAGGTCAAGCCTCTAAATGTAGGCATTTTTGTTTAGGAAAGCAAGGATTTTCTAGTGGAAGAGAGTTAATCTCTGATAGAATTTGTGATACCTGCTAGGCCCGGTGGCTTACACCTGTAATCCCAGTACTTTGGGAGGCCAAGGTGAGTGGATCACTTGAGGCTCGGAGTTTGAGAGCAGCTTGGCTAATGTGATGAAACCCCATCTCTACTAAAAATACAAAAAAATTTGCTGGGTGTTGTGGCACATGCTTGTAATCCCAGCTACTGGGGAGATTGAGGCAGAAGAATCACTTGAACCTTGGAGGTGGAGGTTGCAGTGAGCCAAGATCACGCCATTGCACTCCAGCCTGGGTGACAAGAACAAGACTCCATCTCACAAAAAGAAAAACAAACAAACAAAAAGAATTTGTGATACCTAAGATTTGGATTGCTGCCTCTCACATACAGAATACAAAGAAGTAGCACAAGTACTCCTGAAAGTCAATTAAATCAAGGGCAGCTCCCAGAAGTCTTTGCCTTCACATTAACTCTGGGTAAATTACTACAGTGGTATATTGGGCAAATTTTAGAAGTAGAGGAAGGCCTCTTAGCATGATCTTATTACAGAGAGATTCTGTTTAGACTCCTCTTGACCAGTTTGCTGCTCGAAAGAAAGACATTGCTGCCGGGCGCGGTGGCTCAAGCCTGTAATCCCAGCACTTTGGGAGGCCGAGGCGGGTGGATCACGAGGTCGAGAGATCGAGACCATCCTGGTCAACATGGTGAAACCCCGTCTCTACTAAAAGTGCAAAAAATTAGCTGGGCATGGTGGCACGTGCCTGTAATCCCAGCTACTCAGGAGGCTGAGGCAGGAGAATTGCCTGAGCCCAGGAGGCGGAGGTTGCGGTGAGCCGAGATCGCGCCATTGCACTCCAGCCTGGGTAACAAGGGCGAAACTCCGTCTCAAAAAAAAAAAAAAAAAAAAAAAAAAAAAGAGATCGAGACCATCCTGGTCAACATGGTGAAACCCCGTCTCTACTAAAAATACAAAACATTAGCTGGTCATGGTGGCGCGTGCCTGTAATCCCAGCTATTCAGGAGGCTGAGGCAGGAGAATTGCCTGAACCTAGGAGGCAGAGGTTGCGGTGAGCTGAGATCGCGCCATTGCACTCCAGACTGGGCAACAAGAGTGAAACTCCGCCTCAAAAAAAGAAAAGAAAAAGAAAACACTTGGTCTCTGAAACAAAGTAAATCCTCAAAAGTCAACTAAATGAATGAGCAAAAAAACTGTCTCTTGCTTCTTATAATAGCAATGACTTATTCATCCAGTTTGAACTAGATCCTCTGTGTCATGTAAAATAAGTGTTTTACAAGCTGCATTTCTTTACATACTCATTCCTGCAGGTTAGGAATTCAACTTCCAAAAAAATTGTCCAGCAAAAAGTTACTGAGAGTAGGAAATGGGGCTGAATGTAGAGATATGGTCAGTTGTAAGAAGGAAGAAATTAAAGGCTCTAAGAAGAGAAAGAATAAATTAGGGATGAAGGAAGAAAAGAAATAGAAATCAAAGCTATCAAATAAGAGGAGGTCAACGAAAGGAGAAAAAGCAGGAGAGGGAAAAGAATGAAAAGAAGGCAGAGAGAAAATAGAGCTGTGAAAAGGGGGGTGGAGATTCAGGCTTAGTGCTGGCCTGCCCAAGGAAGTATCCGTCAATAGAAGCCTCACTGACAGCTGTTACCATAATGGGAACTGGCACCTAAAGAGAGGGCAAGTCTGGTTTAATTAGTTAAATGGCATTATCTGTGTCCAGTGGGGGTGGGAAAGGTTAAGGGGATGGAAGGATTGGTGACCCACCTCCTTCCACAGGCTGAGAGAAAAAGTAGACCTACAAAGCTTTGCCAGAAATTAAAGATTCCCATGTGTTCCTATTCACCAGTTACATTTTAAAGGAGGCTTGTAGTGCTCTCGTGGGGGCAGCTAGAATTAAACATTGGCTCTTTATCTTAAATTAAGAATAGGTTTACACCCAGTGCAGTGGCTCATGACTGTAATCCCAGTACCTTGAGAAGCCGAGGCAGGCAGATCACTTGAGTCCAGGAGTTTGACACTAGCCTGGCCAACATGGTGAAACCTTGTGTCTACAGAAAATACCAAAAAATTAGCTGGGCATGGTGGGGCACACCTATAGTCCCAGCTCCCTGGGAGGCTGAGATGGGAGCCTGGGACTATATTTTTATATTTTTATATTTTTAGTAGAGATGGGGTTTCACCATGTTAGCCAGGATGGTCTCAATCTCCTGACCTTGTGATCCACCTGCATTGGCCTCCCAAAGTGCTGGGATTACAGGCATGAGCCACTGTGCCCAGCCTCCAGAGTCTTAAATGATGTGGCAGGAAGCAAGCGCCATCTCTGATCAGTGAAAGTAGTGCCATGACTGGAATTCTGCCTAGCTGGGTTGTTTTGTTTTGTTTTGTTTTGAGACAGAGTCTCACTGTCACCCAGGCTGGAGTGCAGTGATGCTATTATAGCTCATTGCAGCCCCCATCTCTCACCTCAGCCCCTCGAGTAGCTGAAACTACAGTGGAGTAGCTGGGACTATAGGTTCTTGCCGCCATGCTCAGCTAATAATTATTTTTTTGAGACAGAGTTTTTTTTTTTTTTGAGACAGAGTTTCACTCTTGTTACCCAGGCTGGAGTGCAATGGCGCGATCTCGGCTCACCGCAACCTCCGCCTCCTGGGTTCAGGCAATTCTCCTGCCTCAGCCTCCTGAGTAGCTTGGATTACAGGCATATGCCACCATGCCCAGCTACTTTTTTGTATTTTTAGTAGAGACGGGGTTTCACCATGTTGACCAGGATGGTCTCGATCTCTTGACCTTGTGATCCACCCGCCTCGGCCTCCCAAAGTGCTGGGATTACAGGCTTGAGCCACCGCGCCCGGCCCCGAGACAGAGTTTTGTTCTTGCTGCCCAGACCGGAGTGCAGTGGCACAATCTTGGCTTACTGCAACCTTCACCTTCCAGGTTCAGGCAATTCTCCTGAGTCAGCCTCCCTGAATAACTGGGATTACAGGCACATACCACCACACCCAGCTAATTTTTTGTATTTTTAGTAGAGATGGGATTTCATCCTGTTGGCCAGGCTGGTCTTGAACTCCTGACCTCAGGTGATTCCACCTGCCTTGGCCTCCCAAAGTGCAGGGATTACAAGCATAAGCCACCTCACTCAGGCAGCTAATTACTTTTTGCACAGACAGGGTCTCACTTTGTTGTTCAGGCATGTCTTGACCTCTTGGGTTCCAGTGATCCCACCTGGATTGGCTTCCCGAAGTGCTAGGATTACAGGTGTGAGCCACTGTGCCTGACCATACTTGGGCTCTTAATCCAACTTTGCCACTGAGTGACTTTGGTCAAATCATTTTACCAGTTCCTTCCTTTTAGCACTAAGAGTTAATGATATTACAATCTCACAAACCAAGCTCCTCAGACTCAGGTGATCCTCCCACCTCAGACTCTTGTTTAGCGGAGACCATAGGTGTACACCACCATACCCAGCTAATTTTTGTTTTTGTAGAGGCAGTGTTTTACCATGTTGCCCAGGCTGGTCTCAAACATCTACCTGCCTAGACCTCCCCAAATGTTGGGATTACAGGCATGAGCCACTATGACTGGCACACACACACAAAAATTAATACATGTTTTATTTATCCCCACCCCTATATGCTTCCTCTGCATTCTTTTTTTTTTTTTTGAGACGGAGTTTCGCTCTTGTTAACCCAGGCTGGAGTGCAATGGCGCGATCTCGGCTCACCGCAACCTCCGCCTCCTGGGTTCAGGCAATTCTCCTGTCTCAGCCTCCTGAGTAGCTGGGATTACAGGCACGCACCACCATGCCCAGCTAACTTTTTGTATTTTTAGTAGAGACGGGGTTTCACCCTGTTGACCAGGATGGTCTCGATCTCTTGACCTTGTGATCCACCCGCCTTGGCCTCCCAAAGTGCTGGGATTACAGGCTTGAGCCACCGCGCCCGGCCCTCTCCTCTGCATTCTTTTTTTTTTTTTTTTTTTGAGACGGAGTTTCGCTCTTGTTGCCCAGGCTGGAGTGCAATGGCGCGATCTCGGCTCACCGCAACCTCCGCCTCCTGGGTTCAGGCAATTCTCCTGCCTCAGCCTCCTGAGTAGCTGGGATTACAGGCACACGCCACCATGCCCAGCTAATTTTTAGTATTTTTAGTAGAGACGGGGTTTCACCATGTTGACCAGGATGGTCTCGATCTCTTGACCTCGTGATCCACCCGCCTCGGCCTCCCAAAGTGCTGGGATTACAGGCTTGAGGCACCACGCCTGGCCCTCCTCTGCATTCTTAATACTAAGAATCCTCCTTTGTCTTGGTAGAAATTTTTAAGGTTGAATCACATCTTTTTTTCTTTCTGACTGTGACATCAGAACTCAAAGATCATAAAGTTTAATTCCCTTTGGTTTTACAGATTCACTGATGTCAGAAGGCTGATCTGTGGTTTGAGAAAGACCGAAAAGAAAGTTTCCAACCTCCAAACAAAACCCACACAAAAGCCTAGTGATGGAAGGTTCTCGGTAGAGAAAATCCAGACAATGACTGGACACAGTGGGCAAATGCCTACCTTTTGGGAATACCAACTCCACAGGGAGCAATTTCCACAGGGAAGTTACATTAACTGAAGGTTGTCTTAGGACAAGGCTGAATAAAGTAAAGATTTCAACACCATATGCTCAGCTTTGGCAGGAGATGTAGGTGGGAAGGGAATCTCAATGTTGGAGAATGCCCATATCACACCCCAGCTGGCTATGTAATCATGAAATAAGGAGAAACACATAAATATTTGGTTAAAACACCTTTAATGATAGAGGGAAAGACACTAATATCTCCCCTGTCTGTTCTTGACATTTTACTATGTTAGGAAGCTCTGGAGCCTACAGCTTGAGGAGAAGCAACCGTTCAAGTCAGTCAGTCGCAAAACCCTCGCTCTCTCCTCCTCAGAACTCCTGTTCCAAATGATCCTATGTTAAGAGTAAATACTACATCTCATTACAAGACAGAGAAGCAGGGAGGACATCACCTGGAGCTGGTCTCCCAAAGTCTGGGACTCTAAGAACCAAACAATGGCAAAGACACAAGCCCTAGCCTATGGATAGGCAAAATGGGGAGGATAGGGGTCTTGAAAGAGGAAGGTAAGGAAAATACAAGGGGCCAGGGAATAAAGGAGGGAGCTATCTAAAACTAGAAGCATACTAGTGCTAGGAAATCCCCCATGATCCCTGGTACACCTCTGCACACTATGTCCACTATTAGCCCGAAAGAATATTACCCAGAATGCCCACATTCACAAGAATTTGAGGCCCTTTCCCTTACATCATGTACCTTCTTAGTCACATAGGTGTCAGCAAGCCCTGTTTTAGCAACATTCCTTAACGCTCCTCTCATCATTACTTCATCAACCATGCTGACCAACAATGCTCCTTAAAGATAGGAATTAACTTCACATTTCCCAAATATCTTCTGGAAGACCTCTTGGCAAAAAAATTTTTTTCCAGCTTTGAGAGGCCATGATGAATGAGAAGCTGGAGAGGTCTTGGCACACCCAACACCTTTGCCTTAATGTGACCATCAAGGGATTTACTGGGAAAATTGTCCTGCGCCCTTCATTTCTCCCTACTTGCTAGGGTTATGTCACTAATTACTGGAGCATCTTCAGTACCGGCACCTTCTGGAGCAGGGGGAGGGAGAAGGGATGTACAGTTTGCTACTTCTTGTCTACGATGGGCTTCTCAGGCACTGCCTTGGGTGCAGGAGGCTGAAATAGGAGGGGGGCTGTCTTCTCCTTGGCCTCTCTGGATCCCATTGTTGGAGGTGCCTTCCCAGCCACAGTTCCTAGGCCAAACAGCACTGGTGGGGCCGGGCTTGGAGTGGTAGTGGAGGTGGAGCTAGAATTCCAGGGCTTCATGGGCAGGCCACTTAACAGGAATGCCACGTACTGGTTCTAGAAAGATAGGGGACCCACACCCACCAGCTGAGCAGAAAGGTCACCCCAGAGGAGTGGCACTGGGTCCTCCAGAGACAGCTGCCAGCCCTTTTGGGTTAGGCTGCAATTCCAGCTGTAGGTGCTCAGGTGCACCTGCCAAAGGGAAAGGGAGAGGGACAGAGGAGGGGAAGAGGGTCATACCAGGGAAGCTGAAGAGGGTTCCCTTGAGAAAGCTGTAGGGAATCTATTTTCCTCAGGTACAAAGAAAGAGGAGGGAAGAAAAATTCCTTAGGGGGACATCCCCTTGTAAGCACAGTAATTTCCAAGCTCAGGGACTAGAGAAAAGCCACTAGGGACACATCATGTTAAGAACTAAGAGAAAAAAGTCAAAATCAGGGCTCATAAAGCGGGGAGGTCCTTCTGTGAAGCTGTTTCTGCTCTGTGGGACAAAGAGGAGCAGGTACAGAAAAACAGGCTCATGGAATCGTGGGGTCGTCTTTTCGGGAAAAGGGGGAGAGCCCTGGGGAGCTGATGGAAGGTGAACAGCCAGGGACTAAAGACAGAGCAGCAATATTCTGAGGGCCATGAGGGGCAAAGGGCTGTACCTGGTGGTGTGTCAGTAGCATATGCTTCTTGAGGGTAGCCCGCTCAAGAAAGCCCTGCCTGCAGAAAACACAAGTGAAGAGCGGCCCCTCCTTGGGATGGGTCTTCTGATGCTCCTCCAGAGCTGTCTGGGAGGGAAAGGCCTGGCCACAAACTTCGCAGGCCTTTCTGCTGCTGCTCTCTCCTGGCTCCTTTCTCATTGCCTCCTGCAGACTTAGCTCCTCCACCAAGGTCACGCTGGTGCCTTCTCCTTCTGGGGTGAGTGCTGATGCTGGGCTTGAGCTTCTCTCTGGTTTGCCCCCCTCTTCCTTGCCTCCTGAAACATCACGGCTTCCCTGCTCCATTGGCTGAGGCTGATCCAGGCTGTCAGGTGCCGGTGGTGGTGGCAGAGAAGACTGTTGAGGAGCTTTCTCATTACTGTCCATCTCCTTCCCAGCTGTGGCTGCTGTGGACACTGTCCCCACCTCCTCCTCTGGCCCAGATGCCTCTTCTGAATCACCTCTCACTGATATTGCCTTCTCACCTCCACTCTCTGAGCCTCTCCCTGCTAGGGAGTCTTCATCAGTCACATCTTCCTCTTCTTCCTCATCCTCCTCTTCCTCCTCCTCGGACAACTCCTCTTCCGGTGATGGCTGCTGGGACTGCTGCTGGGGGAAGCTCCCTGCCCCGGAGACTGTAGATTGCTCGGAGCCATTCTCCTGGGCAGCTCCTCCACCTTCAGGGAGTACAGTACCACCGTTGGGGATCTGGCCTCCCAGGTGCATCCGAACGTGTTGCTGCAGAGTGACAGCATTGGTGAACTTCTTCTGGCAGATGGGGCAGGAGTTCTGTGCCCGGGCAGCTGGACTGGCCTTGTGGCCCACGAAATGTGCACGCAGATTACCCCTGGTGGAGAAGGCTCGGCCACACACTTTGCATTTGAAGGGCCTCTCACCTCCATGTTGGCCATAATGAAGGCGTAGGGCCCGAGGACAGCTAAGCACCCGGAGACAGATGACACACTGGTTAGGTCCAGAAGAGGCTGAGGATGAAGGTGCAGGGGCAGAGGTGGTGGGGGCTCCTGAGGCAGTTGAGGTCACTGCCACGGCTCCTTGTCGGTCAATCTTTTCTACCAGTTGCTGCAGCTTTGATGTCTCAGAGGGTGAGGCCCCCAAGGGCTCTAGCACATAGGGGAAGGGGAAGCTGCCAGTGGACTTGAAGTGGTTGGTAAGCAGTGCCCAGCTTGGTAGTGAAGTCACCAACTTACTTAGCTGCATGCGAGTGGCTGTGCTACTTTCTGCCACTCCACTGATGGCTGAGCCCTCGCTCCCTGGGGGGGTGTTTTCATCAGCTTTATTCTTGGGTTCCACTGCTTTCATGAGCACAAACTTATTGAAAGCAGGGAGTCCTGGGGCAGTGGCTGTGCCTGCACTGGTGGAGAGCAGAGTCAGGCTCTCTGTGGCACTGAGTGCTGTGGTAGAGGCCACCAGAGGCTTGCGCTCAACACCTCCACCTGGAGTGGCTGCCTCCTCCTCAGCCTTCTCTGGTGGCACGGACATACCATAAGGCAAGCCACTGCTGGTGATGACGTAGTCTAGGTGCTCTGGTACTGGGTGTGGGTTCATCTGCACATGTGGGTACTTCTCACGATGCCGGTGGAAATGCACTTTGAGGTTGCCACGGGTGGTAAAGCGGTTTCCACAGACATTGCACTTATAGGGTCTCTCACCTGTGTGGGAACGAAGGTGGATCTGCAGGGCACTGTCACTGCCAAATACTTTGGCGCAGAAGCGGCATTTGTGCCTTCCACCAGGCTTCTCCAAGGGACCCATCACTTCTCCATAGCCCAGCTCACCACTTCCATTCTTTGGCTTCAGGAGCCCTGGGGAGGCAGTGGCCTCAAGGCCTCGGGCTGCCCCAAGACACTGTGCTGCCAGTAGTCCCGTGGTACTTGGGAATGCCAGATGAGGTGAGGCAATCAGCTGATCTGTGCTGCCTGGCAAGGCTGGGGAGGGGGCAGTGGTGGGTTTGTGGTTTCGCCCAACCCCTCCAGCAGAAAAAGGATGCTGTGACCCCAGCGGGTGGTAAAGGTGGAAGAACGCCTGCTTAGGTGTTTCTGCTCCCGAAGAGGAAGAGGAGGAGGAGGTGGTGGAGGAAGACGCCAGTGTCTTGCTGGTTTGGACAGGCTTGATGGGGCTGAAGAGGGGTAATAGGGGCTTGGTGGAAGAGGCAGTCCCTGTCCCAGGTAGCTCTGAGGGACTGGCAGGGGCACCCACCGTCTGACCTAAGGAGCCAAGCAACAGCACCTGCCTGCAGATTTGCTCAGTCATCTGCATCTGATGGATCTGCCGCTGCTGTAGCACCCGTAGCTCTTCTAGGATCAGGGGGATGTTCAAGTGGCCGCTGCCTACACCTGGGGGCGGAGGGGGTGGTGGAGGAGGAGGGGGTGCAGGGGTCGATTCTGGAGGTAATGGGGTTGCTCCCAGCTTTGGACTGGCCAAGATCAGGCCCCCACCTCCCCCAGCCGCTGTACCTGTGGCAGCGACCAGGAAATGCCCGGAAGACTCCTCTCCTCTCCTCTCTGGGCCCCAGGTGGGATCCGTGGGCATGGAGGACCCAGAATCTGAGGGGTTGCTATGCTCTGTGTCCATGACCTGAGGATTATTGTGACCCTCAGGCCGGGGTTCAGAGGAGGCCGAAGAGCTGTTGGGGTTCTCCTGGCCCCCAATTATCACCATTACAGGAGGGTCGGTAGAACATGCATTCTGGTGGGCGAGGAATTCAGTTGGGTCAGTGAATTGTGCGCAGCACTTGGCACAGACTTGGGGGTGATCCTCCTCGCTAGCATCACCTGGGGAGAAGACAAGGAGAGAGAGCGTGGGTGGCGCAGTTGGGTTGGGTATGCCGAGCTCTAATTAGCAAGGAGCCCAGTAACTGCTAGTTGGGGGTGGGGAGATGAGCTCACCGTCAGGCCGTGAAGGCTAGAGCTCAGGCCTGATCAGTGTGGACAGGAGACAACCCGGCATGGGGCAGGGTTGGGGGCGCAGAGGAGGGAGGCACGCACATGCTACTCCCCTCCTCAGTCACCCTCCCTTTCCCCGGGGCACCAGCGAGTTCAAGGAATAGGTGTGAGGCCAGGGGCCTATGCAAAGAATCATGCATTTTCTCCCGCCCACCGAAAGTCTTCACCGCCTGGTGCATCCCCTCCGCCCCCACCCCTGCCCAGCCCGGCCCTACCGCACCTCCGAGCTCTGCCGGCTCCCCGCAGGGCACCCCAAGACGAGAGCTCCTCCCGGATTCGTGCGCCATGGTTGTGGGGGAAGTGGAGGGCCAGGTGGGGCGGGAGACAATGGATACTGGGATTGAGGGAGGCGGCTGTGGCCGCTGGGTCTGCGGCAGCGTCTGCACCCAGCGGCCCAGACTGCGGAGACGGAGATCCGCGGCGACGGCGGGGGCAGGGAGCAGCGGCGGAGGGGGAGGGGAACGAGGAGGCGGGGAGGAGCTGGAGCGAGAAAGCGGGGAGAGGGGAGATCTGGGAGGAGCTGATGAGGAGGGGAGTTTATGGGGAGGAGCTGCTGAGGAGGGAGGCGGGAGCTAGAGGAGGCGGGAGACCGAAGCGCAAGCGGGGGCTTGGGGGCGGGAGCCCAGAGCTCGGGAGAGTTTCCGGAGGCGCAGTGACAGGTGCGGTGAAGCACTGCGGGGGTCCACCTTTCCCCATCCCTGGCCAGCTCCCCCCGTCTGCAGATGCCTTTGCCCAAGCCTACCCTCCTCCCCCCGCCCTCCCCTCCTAAGCTCTAGGGGCACAGTGGGAAACGTAGCCCTACTCAATAGAGCAAGGCGATAGGCTTCTCTTATTTTTCTCTGGATAAAGGATCCGCTGAGCTTGGAAAACGTGGATTCCAGAGAGGGTTGGCTGATCTCCTCAGAGGTCTGAGGGCCAGAGGAAAGCGGGGAGCTCAGAACATCCACTCTTCACCAGCACACACCCCCCAAAATACTCCCAAGTTTTGTCCCGTCTTTCTCACTTCTATTCCCACCCTACCCCCATTCCTCTCCACAAAAGAAGTTTCTCAGGGTGGGCGGCTGCAAGGTAGAATTTCCAAGGAAGTCATTTCAGGACTCTGCGGAACACTAAGCCCCTTCACTCACCGCCCTTCCTCCCCCAGAATAATAGCTGAATGCAGGCTACTCTGCGGATCGCCCGGCCTACACAACACCTAATTTATAGGGTCCATGCTTATTTAATACGCCATCTCCTATTTGGTACCCTCTTTCCTACCCTATTCCTCCTCTATTCTCCTCTTGCAACATTCCTCACACTGTCACTATTAAAGACAGTGGGTTTGGGGAGACGCTAGCCAGCCGAGGCCTAGGAGGCCCACCCAGCTCTAACCTGGGGGGAGGGGAGCCCTCTTGAAACAATGCGGTAGGAGCTTCCAGGCAGCCCTCAGTGTCTAAAGCCCTTTCAGCTCCAGCCTGGTTTGAATGTTTAGGAATACCTAACACCTGCTCACCATCACAGAAGCAGCCTCCCATTCAGAGAGGATAAGTAAGGATAAAATGCTTCCTGGACCAGGTATTCTGCATTCTCTTTTTACCTTGAAATGAGTCTTAAAGCGCTTCCCACCTCCTAAAATACTTTCTTTTTCTCTTACATGCAGAAAGTGACCACAAGTCCTTGGTTTGGTAGTTTCCCTGGGCGTCAGTAAACCTAAATTGTTCTAATCCCAGTTCTATTCTTGCCTCGCTGAAAAATTGAGACACGGTAGTCAGTCACACCATGATATACCACCATTTCCCTCTTCATAAAGTAGTAATATTGTAGCTGCATTATCTTACTCAGAAAAATATCGTGGGGACAAAAGATTGAAAAATTTGACAATACTAATGTGTAAACCAGTTATGGTGGTACACACCTGTAGTCCAGCTACTTGGGAGGCTGAAGCAGGAGAATTACTTCAGTCCAGGAGTTTGAGGCTGCAGCGAGCTATGATCACACCTGTAAATAACCACTGCCCTCCAGCTTCAGCAACATAGCGGGACCTCATCTCTTAAAAAACAAAAAAGTCTAAAAATTTAATGTGTACATGTGAGACTTTTTTTTTTTTTTTGAGATGAAGTCTCACTCTGTCACCCAGACTGGCGTGCAATGGCATGGTGTCTGCTCACTGCTACCTCCACCTTCCGGGTTCAAGCGATTCTCCTGCTTCAGCCTCCTGAGGCACCTGCCTACTGATCAGCCTGCCTCAGCTTCCCAAAGTGCGGGGATTACAGGTGTAAGCCACTGCACCCAGCCACATGTGAGACTTAAAGTTTGGGGAGTCCTGAATTGTATCAATTAGAGAATTTACATTGTTGGTAGTAAAATAATCAAGGTAACCTTAAATACATATATACTAAAATTAGATCTGTTTTTCATGTTGCTTGTTAATCTTACTAATTTCTGAAGTAACATATTGGCTAATACCAGCGGCATATTTCAAAGGTAGGAGGTCTTTTTTTTGTGGGAGGTGGGAGCTGAAACAACCTATTTAAAATATTAGTAACTTCTACTTTTCAACAAAAATTTTGCCTGTGTTTTTAAATTTAAAACATTTTACTGAATTGTGTTTTGAAACTTCAGATAATAAGGCTCTTAGCATTGTGAGTCATGACTGTGAAATGGATGGGTTCCGTGCCTCCAGGCCTGACCTTACAAATGAGGGAGGGGGGTTCTATTTCAGTTTATGGCAAGTCACAGTTTTGTGCAATGCGGTTTATTTTTACAGATAAGGAAATTGAAGCTTGGAGAGGTTAAGTGACTTTTCCAAGTTCACACAGTAATTCAGTGAAGCAAGCATTCAGAATTTGGACTCCTGTCCAGTGCTTTCTCAAGCACATCAACAACGTATGGTTTCCCTAATGCTAAAGAAAGGGCCCTGTGTGGCTTCTACCTGCCATTTGCTCCCTGGCCTTAGTCAGGGAGAGGGAATCAGATGGAGCCTTTCTACTGAGCATTTGTTAATTAGCATTGAACATTTGATATCCAGTTGCTGTTTTGTCAAGTCTTCTGACAAGAAAAGAAATCCTTTTCTTTTCATCTTCTCCTGGGAAACACTGTCCCCTTTCTTGCTCTTTAATGAAATGTGCTTTCTGATGCGTAATTTGATCTACGCTCTTCTTTAAGGTAAATTTAGTCCCTGGTGAAAGGTGACTGGATCAACAGCCACCTGTAAGAGGAACCCTCCATTTCTCACCACTTTGCACTCACTGCCTATCCTGAAAAGGGGAGCAGGATTCTTACATAAACATGAATGAAGTCACAAATGCAGGGATAAACTAAACGGGTGATGGTGTCCCTAGATAGCAGATAAGGTGAGGTAAGCTATCCCCGGTCACATGCAAAGTCCAGGGTGGATATGGAACTAAGACGTGGACAAGCTTGCTTAAACTTACAGAAAGCTGAAATGACAAAGAAAAAGGAAACCAGGTGGCTTCCTCTCTAAACCTAGCGTCCCATCAAATTGCTGCTTTAGGCTTGAGAGACAACTGTGGAGGAGAACAAAGAGAAAAATAGGTGGTTCTATGTAGCAGGGTCATACATTTGAACAGTGGTTCTCAAATTTTGCTGCCCATTAGGATTACTGGGAGAGACTTTTTTTTTTTTTTTTTTTTGAGACGGAGTTTCACTCCTGTTACCCAGGCTGGAGTGCAATGGCACGATCTCGGCTCACCGCAACCTCCGCCTCCTGGGTTCAGGCAATTCTCCTGCCTCAGCCTCCTGAGTAGCTGGGATTACAGGCATGCACCACCATGTCCAGCTAATTTTTTGTATTTTTAGTAGAGACGGGGTTTCACCATGTTGACCAGGATGATCTCGATCTCTTGACATCGTGATCCACCCGCCTCAGCCTCCCAAAGTGCTGGGATTACAGGCGTGAGCCACTGCGCCCGGCCCGAGTTTTTAAATTTTTATGTTGAGGTACAGTGGCCTGTGCCTTGTAGTCAGCTACTCTGAAGGCTGAGGTTGGAAGATCACTTGAATTCAACAGTTTGAGACCCCATTTCAAAAACAAAAAAAAAAAAAAAAAAAAAAAAAAGACAGAGAGAGAAAATAACATTTAGGCACAGTGGGTAGCTTGTGCCTATAATCCTACTATTTCTGGAGGCCAAGGCAGGAGGATCGCTTGAGGCCAGGAGTTTGAGACCAGCCTTCATAACATAGTGAGACCCCCATCTCTACAAAATAAACAAATCAACCAAACTTAAATCCCTGAGGATAGGATCCAGGCATTAGTTTTATAAAGCTCCTCAGGTGAGGCCGGGCGCGGTGGCTCAAGCCTGTAATCCCAGCACTTTGGGAGGCCGAGGCGGGTGGATCACGAGGTCGAGAGATCAAGACCATCCTGGTCAACATGGTGAAACCCTGTCTCTAATAAAAATACAAAAAATTAGCTGGGCATGGTGGCACGTGCCTGTAATCCCAGCTACTCAGGAGGCTGAGGCAGGAGAATTGCCTGAACCCAGGAGGCGGAGGTTGCGGTGAGCGGAGATCGCGCCATTGCACTCCAGCCTGGGTAACAAGAGCTAAACTCCGTCTCAAAACAAACAAACAAACAAACAAACAAACAAGCTCCTCAGGTGATTCCAATGAAAACACAAAGATGGTGACACAATGATGAGACCACAGTGTCAGAAGACTGGACTGCCCTTTCCATCACACCTTCCACCCTGCTCCTCACAAATCTTATCTGAGGTAAACTTGGCCACAGTTGCGACACAGACAAAATGAACTCTCAAAGCTAAACCCTCCTGTCAGTTTCCCTCCCTACAGTGCCCACAACCACAATTAGCTTCCTTGTATCCTTTCCCAGTGAAAAATCTGCTTCCATGAATAGAATTTGATATAATTTACACCATACTGTAAGGTGTTTTCTTGTTTTTTTTGTTTGTTTGTTATTTTTTTGAGACAGAGTCTTGCTCTGTCACTCAGGCTGGAGTGAAGTGGCATGATCTCAGCTCACTGCAACCTCCGCCTCCCAGGTTAAAGTGATTTTCCTGCCTCAGCCTCCCAAGTAGCTGGGACTATAGGCATGAGCCACCACACCCAGCTATTTTTTTTTTTGAATTTTTTGTAGAGACAGGATTTCATCATATTGGCCAGAGTGGTCTTGAACTCCCAACCTCAAGTGCTCTGCACCCACCTTGGCCTCCCGAAGTGCTGGGGTTACGGGCATGAGCCACTGTGCTCAGCACATTACTGTAAATTTAAACGACTGCATTTATTTCCCAGATATGGGTATCTTGAAGCATATATTTTTTTTCTTTGATTTTTGAACCATATATTTTTTTATTTCTTTTTCTTTTTTTTTTTTTAAAGATGGAGTTTCACCATGTTGGTCAGGCTGGTCTTGAACTCCCGATCTCAGGTGATCCGCCCACCTTGGCCTCCAAAGTGCTTGGATTACAGGCGTAATCTATGCCCAGCCCATATTTTTAATTGTAAGCTGAAAGGTTTTGTTCTACAGAGTTCAAGCATCATCCCTCCATTAGGGGAACAAAGCACACTATATAAGCACCTGCCTAAACTAACTTACTCTTTTTTTCTTTT